AACTCGTGTGCAGAAAAAGGTATATTCCCTTTGCATGTTTGCCCATAGGACAATTATTTCTTTTACTTTTTTTTCACAATATAGATGTGGGATGATGTGTGCATGTAACTGAGTAAAAATAAATGAAGAACTGTTCAATTAATGGTTCAATTAAAAAAATTTTGGTTAACGAATTAGCTCCCATAAGGATTTTCAGTTCCATTAACAAACAAAACTTTGATTAACGAAAGCCTTAGGAGAAACACGCTTTGTTGTGCGCATCAGCTGATCGGCTAGTCCGCCAATACAGTAATTGGTTCTGTGTTTACATTCGTTTCCAGTGGAGTAAATATCAAGAAAGTTGTGTTCTTGAATATTTTTGCCTTTTTTATATTAAAATTATTGGTCATTCTAAAATTTAGCCATCCAAGCTCTGTCTACATAAAGTTTTCAACTAATATTTTGGCTCGATGTATGTGACTTTATTAATTTATTTTTACTCATTTACATGCACACACTGTCCTAAAGGCAAAGCTGTACTGTACATGTACTCAAAATAATGTACTAAAAGATTACAGGTTGTACCTCTCTAGTCCGGCATCCTCGGGACCTGACCGGTGCTTGACCATGGAAATTCACTCTTTTCCTGGATAGATAGTGACTTGTGCTTATGCTTGGAAGCACTTGCACCACTTTCACTGCTTCGTGGTCTCTTTGAAGACATATTGAAGGGTTAAATGTCGTACAGTAGGTTCTCAAATTTCGCGAGTTTTTAATTCGACATATTTTATTTGGACACAAAAAAACACTACACAATTTAAAATTTCGACGGCGGAAACTCGAATTTCGACGGGTTTGAGCGGCCTGCTAACGTTCAGACATGCACAATCGTGTAAACCGCGTCATTTCTCTTGTGTACAAAAGATTCATTATTGTTTATTACTGAATGTGCTTTTGATTGAATTAATGTTTATGTGTGCAAAATGAATATGTAGAATATTAAAACACGAGGAGACGAGACGGCATTGTTTTCGTTAATGTTTACAAAGCCAGTGACTGACTGGTTCTACATATAAAACTGAAGAAAATAAGTCCCTGGTTGTAGCTGTAGTAAAATTAATTCAAAAAAATTAACATGGTTGTTTTAAGTAATGTTATTTAATGTTAATAAATGGAACAATATAAGTAGCTAACCATTAATGGTAAAGGAAAAAGTGAGACTGCGCATATGTAAGTGTGCACATGTGAAAACACATCGTCATTACTCTACATAAGAATATGAAAGCAACACTTATTTACTGTTCATATATGTTTTAATTAATGTTACTGAATTTAAAAAAAAGATTCTACTCACCAGTGGTGGTAAAGTTGAAAACACAAGGACAGCCAATGTTGTTGTGTGTGTTTTTACTAAGATGACAAAGTTGCCAAGTCATCAGGTTCAACTCTAGCTGAAGCTATAGAACATAAGAACTTTTTCTGTGTTGGTTTTAGTTTTTATTTAACTTTATCTGTGTTATTTTCGTTGGTTTATTAGGATGTTGCTTTATTACAGGTAGTAATTCGCCAAAAAAGAAGGGTAAATAAGGCAAAATTTCGCCAAACATCGAAAGTACCAGACTCAAATTAATTTTCTCCATAGGAAGTTGTATTTAAGTTTAGACGATTTGAATTTCACAAGGTTTTTACAGTCTAAATAGGTGTCCAAATATGAGAGCCTACTGTAGTAATATCTCCATTACCCGGAATCCCTCAAACCCGGAACTGTCTGATAGCCAGATTTGAAATTTTCTCGGAAAATCGTTCCCAAAACTGGAATTTTCCGGAAAATTATGTCTTTGGGAACGATTTTCTGGGAAATTCTGGGTAAATTTTTCCAATGCCCGGAAAATTACGAGGATGGGGGAGTTTTTTCCGGCTTTGAGAGAGTCGTCTCGTTACTCGGAAATCTCTCATTCCCGGAAGTCCTCTACACCGATTGTTCTGGCTAACGGAGATATCACATCTAACAAAGAACGGACCAACAGCCTAATGGCTAGTAAGCTGATAAGTGGTGAAATGTTGAGTAGAAATTAAAATCACAAAATCTTACCTACTACAGGACACAAGTGAAAATCAGGAAAAACTACCAAATTAAAGTTACAAAGGGAACTCTTAAGAATATCCGCTATTTTTGTTCAAACTCTAGAATGCGACGCCTAGCTTTTAACCTAGGTATGTTAATGCCTAGCAATAACTCGCCAGGCCAACATACAGGCAATTTAAACATCTAATAATTACTTAATAAGTAATATTAGAAGGACACGTCGCTACCTGGCATTTTAATTGAAAAACCGGATTTTTCTTGCATCTTCAGATTGCCAAGTCTTCAACTTTTATTTATATTATACAGTACAGGGGGCTATACCCTATATAAATACCGATAGTTATAGTAATAAGTTGTATGAGATTGTGGGTTTATGGTCCCAGTTGGCCTCCCTGGCTACACTGGTGCACTTAACTCAGTGTGGTGGAATTCACATGATTTGTACTTAGGTCACACATGGCCTGCTCCACGGGTCCATATGGGGATTGTGCTGAACCATGTACAGTACAGTGAATTCAGAAGAGTCACAATTACTTGTGAAACCATGCAAGAAAAGAAAATGTAAATTGAGGGCCAATGCTGTAGTTTTTTGTTTAAAAAAAAAGTTTGTAATATTCTTTACAGTAATATGACATGAATGAAAAAAAATAACCCAGATAAAATGAAAAAGTTTAAAGTAATTTTTTTTAATGAAACTGCTTTCTCCATCTCTCTATGCATTGGTGAAGGTGAAACAAACATTCTCTAAACTACAGTATGTCTAATTAAGCAGAATTGAGTCACTCAATAATGTCATCAGAGCCTAAGCTTAAATAAAGTTTATTTTAAGATATGTAAAGGTCCACTCCTTCTGGGGATCGGTACAGTAGCAGTATTGTAGCCAGTGAGGTTTGTCAGAGGTGTGAACTGATTGTTGTAGCACAGAGCAATATTGGCAATATCAGACTTATCAACAATTTGGGAAGTACTGTACTTAAATAAATTTCTACCCCCACCTTCATGAGGTCATTGTTAGTACAGTACAGTACTGTACTGTACAGTGTAAGATCATTACAGTACAACTACACTGTATTTCACAGTTCACTTGTAGAATTGATTTATAGTTTGAACAGAAGCCAGTTTTCCTTTTTCAAGGAATTGAAAGAGAAAATTCATGATTTGGAAGTGACTTGAGATTACAGTACGTACAGGTGTACCCCAAAAACCGACACTTCACAGAACCAATGATTACATATAGGGGAAATACCCTGCCAGTTTCGTTGATATCCCAGAGATCCGATGATCGGGAGAGGAGCGGCAGAGCTGTTTTGAATTTAGCTGATGGTGGCGTGGTGCGAATTTTTGCCACGAGGTGGCTCTGCACACTGCCCTGACTTATTCCCGCCACCTTTGCTCTTGTGATGTGATGAGATAAAGCGTAATAAGGCATAATAAGATTGGTGATGGACCAGCAAAGATTGGTAGAGACTTGAACATGCCACCCTAGTCTGTCTTTACCATTCTCAACACACAGATAAATAATAGTCTCAATTTATGCTTTACATTGCTTATTTAAGGCTTATTATGCTTGCTTTGTATGTCTGCTTTATTTTCTTGCTTGACAGTGTGCACAACAGAGATATATCAAGGGTAGATGGGAGTTTTGGAGGGTGGTCAGTCTCTAACCTCCTGAATTTGTTATGTTCTTATGGGATTAATTACTTCGATAACTGTTGATTCACTAGCCAACGACTTTTCCTGGACCCTATATGTGTCGGTTATCGGGGTACACCTGTACTGTATTATAGACTAGACAAAATTATACAGTAATTGATTAGGTATTAGAAAATATTTAATTAATTTGCTATACACTCTACAGGTGATTTACAGGTACAGGTCCACCACCAATTTTCTAGCACCTTTGGTTCCTCAGCCTTGCCAGATTAACAGAGGTCATATATAATAATACACCTCTGACCCACTAGCTATACACCTCCTAGTATCTTTAAAGCACCATAGAATCTCATTACTTTTTCTCTCTGCATCCTTATATCATACACAGTTGATGACCCAATACCATACTAATCCTGCAGCTGTCGCACCGAAACACCACGGTCAACTTTTTTCAAGAGTTCCACCTTATCTTGTATCGATATGGACTGGTATTTATGCTTTACACCACCTCTGACACTTGTACTCGCCTTTGAAGCCATAGCTGGGGTTAAATGTGTGCAAAATAGGCTGAGAATCACAGAAAATCAAGGGGCTACCACCAGCAACTGCAGAGTAAACAAATAAAGTGAGCGCGGATAAAACGTAACGCCATCTGTGGCAGCCCAGTAAACTAATCTGGAGGTCTCAGGAATTACGAGTGCCATTTCGTAATTTTGTCCGGATTAAATGAGGTGCCGGACCATCCGTTCCCTGAAAATCGGTGGTGGACCTGTATTAATATAGTGTATCCCAATTATTAAGTAAACATAGTGCTCTCATTATATCTTGATTCTCTGTAGGCTGTATCTGTCTAGGTGTTGATATTACTGTGAACTGATCTTTCTAGAAAGGTTGGATAGCAACAACCTGCCTTTTTATCAGGTCTTTATTCCTACTCATATTTAGGATAAATTATTTTACATTTTCCTCACTCTACCTTCACTTTCATTTTAAACTAATTCACTTAACCTTGCTACATATGTGTTCGTTTCTAAATACTTGAAATGTAGCTCTTCCCATTGATTTCTCCATCTTCAATTGACTTTACTCAAGTCAGTCATATCCAAGCCATGTTTTTTGCAAATGTAAGACAAAATTTTATAGCTTGTTTCTCAACATCCTTACCATTAGCATTCTGTATTAAGTATTCATATGTATTTCATTTACCATATAGTTTTCTTAATTCCACAAGTAGGAAATACTTAAGATTTGAATGATCTCATTTTCGAACTCATTATTTCAGATGAAACTAACAGTGAGGCTGCAGATGAACAGACACCTATAACTGGCCTCAAAGGGATATCTTCTGGAGCAGTGTTACGGGGTTTCTATGTCTTTGTTGCAGTGGGTACCTTTGTACTCGTGTGCATTGTTATCAAACTTCTAAGGTAAGCTTTTTAGAGTGCCATACATTTTTTTTTTGTCTGTGCATGGCGGGGGAAGATTAAATGCAGCCATGTGTGACTGAATGTTGCTTAATACTTTATAATATGTAACTTGTTTGTTCATGTCATTTTCAGATTCAGTGATCAGTGAAAGTTGATCATCTACAGTAGACATAACTGCCACCTATCCTTGAATATTACTCAAAAGCATTGACATTAAAGAGAGAAGTTTTTATGAGAAAGGGAAGTGAATACAGGTTGACAATCCCTTATCCGAAATCCTTGGGGCCAGATGCATTTCGGATCTGGATGATGGCTGTGCGTGAGTTGGTTTACGTGGTGAGGCAGGAGCGCAGGCTACAACCACACATCTTGGCTCTCCCTTTTCCTGATCCAGTGGTGCAAGTGTTGCAACGACTGAGGAGAGGGACAGTTGCAATGGACTGCTGATAGCCGCCCAGTTCCTTGGGTTTCGCCTTAGTAGCCTGTCTGTCATTCATTGCTTTCGTCCGCCGGTGTAATCGTTGGGTTCCCACGTTGGTCACTACCTCCGCCTATACCACCATTGGGGTCTTACTGGAGCTCTGTAAGCATGTCTGCCTGATGCGGGGCTCCACCACTGAATTTTCATTTGGGGTTTACTCCTGTAGCCTTATACCTACCAATGTTAATCCGCAAGGCAGTGGGGCAGTTGTTGTAGGCGCTAGGACGTGTCCACATGTCAATCGGCCTATGCGCCATCCCTCTGGGGTCCACTGCTACTCTGAGATCCCCTGCTGGTCTAGCCTGGGCCTACAAGGCACCCAGTTACTGTGTGTTGCCACGAGGAGGCACAGCAGGAGTCTTGATGGTGAAGAGGCTGTGTAATGTGAACCACCCACACACCCCAACACCACCCACACACCCCCAACACACCCCCAACACCACCCACACACCCCCAAACACCACCCACACACACCCCAACACACCCCCAACACCACCACACACCCCAACACCACACCCACACACCCCAACACCACACCCACACACCCCAACACCACCCACACACCCCAACACCACCCACACACACCCCCCAACACAATCTCCCCCCAACACCACTCACACACACCCCCAACACCACTCACACACCCCAACACCACCCAACACACACACCCCAACACCACTCACACACACCCCCACACACCCCCAACACCACCCACACACCCCCAACACCACCCACACACTCCCAACACCACACCCACACACCCCCAACACCACCCACACACACCCTCACCACCCACACACCCCCAACACCACTCACACACCCCCCACCCCAGCAACACACCCCAAAACTAACACCCACACACCCCCAACACCACTCACACACCCCCAACACCCACTGCACACCCCAACACCACCCACCACACACACACACCCCCAACACCACCCACACACCCCCAACACACCCCCAACACCACACTCACACACACACACCTAACACCACTCACACACCCCCAACACCACCCACACACCCCTAACACCACTCACACACCCTAACACCACCCACACACCCCAACACCACCCACACACCCCCAACAACACCCACACACACCTAACACCACCTTACACACCTCCCCAACACTACCCACACACACAATCTAACACCACCCAAACACCCACCACAATTCACTCACACACCCCTGCACACTACACTACACACACCCCAACACCACCCACACACACCCCCAACACCACTGCATACACACCCCAACACCACCCACACACACCCACCACACCACACACACACCCCCCAACACTACCCACACACCCCCCAACACCACCCACACACCCCCAACACCACCCACACACACCCAACACCACCCAAACACCCACCACCATACCACCCACACACCCCCAACACCACGCACACACCCCCAACACCACTCACACACCCCCAACACCACTCACACACCCCAACACCACACTCACACACACCCCCACCACTCACACACCCCAACACCACTCACACACCCCAACACCACTCACACACACCCCCCAACACCACTCACACACCCCCAACACCACCCACTACACCACCTGCACACCCCCAACACCACCCACACACCCCCAACACCACCCACACACCCCCAACACCACCCACACACCCCCCAACACCACCCACACACACCCACCACACACCACCTTCACACACCCCCCAACACCACCCACACACCCCCAACACCACCACCCACACACCCACCACACCACTCACACCCCCAACACCACCCACACACCCCCCAACACCTCACCCACACACCAACACCACCCACACACCCCAACACCACTCACACACACCCCCAACACCACCCAAACACCCACCACACCACCCACACACCCCCAACACCACGCACACACCCCAACACCACCTTCACACACACCCCCAACACCACCACTACACACACCCCCAACACCACTCACACACCCCCAACACCACGCACACACCCCAACAACACCCACACACCCCCAACAATCACACCTCACACACCCCAACACCACTCACACCCCCCAACACCACCCACACACCCCCAACACCACCCACACCCCCAACACCCGCACCCACACACACCCAACACCACCCAAACACCCACCACACCACTCACACACCCCAACACCACTCACACACACCCCCCTAACACTCACCCACACACACCCCCAACACCACCCACACACCCCCAACACCACCCACACACCCCCCAACACCACCCACACACCCCCAACACCACACCACTCACACACCCCCAACACCACCCACACACCCCCCAACACCACCCACACACCCCCAACACCACCCACACACACACCCCCAACACCCACCACCCACACACCTCCCCAACACCACGCACACACCCCCAACAACACCACTCACACACCCCCAACACCACCCACACACACCCCCAACACGCACCCCCCCAACACCACCCACACACCCCCACCACTCACACACACACCCCGACACCACTCACACACCCCAACACCACCCACACACCCACCACACCCACCCACACACCCCAACACCACTCACACACACCCCCCCAACACCACCCACACACACCTCAACACCACCCACACACCCCCAACACCACCTACACACACCCCCCAACACCACCCACACACCCCCAACACCTCACCCACATTCCACCACACCACGCACACACACCTCTAACACCACTCACACACACTCTAACACCACCCACACACACACCCCCCAACACCACCCACACACCCACCACACCACGCACACACACCCAACACCCAACACCCACACACCCACCACACCACGCACACACACCCCCACCACTCACACACCTGCAACAATCTCCACCCACACACCCCCAACACCACCCACACACCCACCACACCACGCACACACACCTAACACTCACCCACACACCCCCCCAACACCACCCACACACCCACCACACACCACCCACACACCCGCACCACACCACCCACACACCCACCACACACACGCACACACACCTAACACCTCACCCACACACCCCCAACACCACCCACACACACCCACCACACCACCACGCACACACACCTAACACCACCCACACACACCCCCAACACCACCCACACACCCCCAACACCACCCATACACACCCCAACACCACCCACACACACACACCCAACACCACCCACACACACACCCACCACACCACGCACACACCCCCAACACCACTCACACACCCCCAACACCACCCACACACCCCCCAACACCACCCACACACACACACCCACCACACACCACGCACACACACACACTCTAACAACACCACCCACACACCTTCAACACCACACCCACACACCCACCACCACGCACACACCCTCAACACCACCCACACACCCCCAACACCACCACCCACACACCCCCAACACCACCCACACACCCCCCAACACCTCACACACCCCCAACACCACTCACACACACCCCCCCCAACACCACCACACACCCCCACCACCCACACACCCCCAACAACACCACTCACACACACCCCAACACCACTCACACACCCCCCAACACCACTCACACACACCCCAACACCACCCACACACCCCCAACACCACCCACACACACCCCAACACCACCCACACACACCCCCAACACCACCCACACACCCCCAACACCACCCACACACCCCAACACCACCACACACCCCCCAACACCACTCACACCCCCAACACCACACCACACACACACACCCCCAACACCCACACACCCCCAAGTAACACCACCCACACACCCCAACACCACTCACACACACCTCTAACACCACCTACACACCCCCACCACCCACACACACCCCAACACCACACACCCCCAACACCACACACACCCCCAACACCACCCACACACACACCCCCAACACCCACACGCAGACACACCCCCAACACCACCCACACACCCCCCAACACCACCCAGGCACACACCCCCCCAACACCACCCACACACCCCCAACAACACCACCACACCCCCAACACCACTCACACCCACACACACCCCCAACACCACCCACACACCCCAGCCCACCCACACACACCCACACCACACACACACACCACACACACACCCCACCACCCCCACACACCCCAGCACCCACACACTCCCAACACCACCCACACCTCCAGCACCACCCACACACCCCAACACCAGCCCACACACCCCCAACACCACCCACACACCCACCACACCACCACACACCCCAACACACCACACACCCCCGACCCACACACACCCGCAACACCACCCACACACACCCCCCCACCCACACACCTCACACACCCCACACACCCGCACACACCCCCAACACCACCCACACACACCCCCCAACACCACCCACACACCCCAACACCACCCACACACCCCAACAACACCACACACCCCCAACCACCCACACACCACCCACACACACACCTCACCCCCAACACCACCCACACACCCCAACACCACCCACACACACCCTCAACACCACCCACACACCCCCAACACCACCCACACACCCCCAACCACCACCCACAACACCCCCACACACCCCAACAACCCACACACACACCCACACCAGCCCACCCCCACCCCCACCACCCACACACACAACACCACCACACACCCCCACACCACCCACACACCACACCCACCACACCACCCACACACCCCCAACAACCACCCACACACCCCCAACACCACCACCCACACACCCCAACACCACCCACACACCCCAAATTCACCCACACACACCCCCAACACCACCACACACACCTAACACCACCCACACACCCCCAACACCACCACACACCCCAACACCACCCCACACACCCACCACACCCCCACACACCCCCCAACACACTACACACACCCACACCACCCACACACAACACCACCCACACACCCCACACCACCCACACACCCCCCACCACCCACACACCAACACCACACACACCCCCAACACACCACACACCACCCACACACCCACACACCCCCAACACCACCCACACACCCCACACACACACACCACCCACCACACACCCCAACACCACCTCACACCAACACCACCCACACACCCCCAACACCACACACACACCCAACACACCCACACCCACCACACCACCCCACACCCCAACACCACCCACACACCACCCACACCCCCCACAACACCACCCACACACACCCCCAACACCACCCACACCACCCACACACACCACCCCACACATAACCCACCACACCCCCAAACAACCACCACGCCACACACCACACACACCCAACACCACCCACAACACCCCACTCACCACCACCACACACACCACCACACACACCCACCACCCACACACCCACCACACCCACCACACCACCCACACCTCACACTCACACCCACCAACACCACCCACACACCACCCACACCACCCACACACACACCCCAACACCAACACCACACCACCCCCCAACACCACCCACACACCCCAACACCACCCACACCCATCAACACCACCCACACACCCACCACACCACGCACACACCCCCAACACCACCTCACACAACACCCCCTGACACCACTCACACACCCGCAACACCACCACTCACACACCCCCAAATTACCCACACACCCCAACACCACCCACACACCCCCACCAACCCACACACCCCCAACACCACGCACACACCCCCACACCTCCACACACACCACACCACACCACCCCACACCTCCACACACCTCCCACACACACACACACCCCACCACCCCCACACCCCCACACACCCCCCACACCTCCACACCCCAACACCCACCCACACACACCTCCACACACCCTCACACCTCCACACACCACCCACACACCCCCAACACCACCCCCACACCCCCAACACACCCACACACCCCACACCACCCACACACCCCAACACACCTCCACACACCCCCAACACCCCCACCCTCCACACACCCCCCAACACCCCCACACCTCCACACACACACACCCCCACACACCACCCACACACCCCACACACACACCTCCACACACCCCCCACACACACACCCCCACACCCACACACAACACCACTCACCCCACACCCCCACACCCCCACACACCCACACCCAACACACACCCACACCACACCCCCACACACACTCACACACACCCCCACACACACACCTGCACACCACACCACACCCCACACACACACACCCCACACCACCACACACCCACACCCTCACACACACCCCACACCACACCTCCACACCCCCACACCTCCACACACCCCCACACCCACACACCCCCAACACACACCACACACACACCCCCACACCACCCACTCACCACACACCCCCACACCACACACCCACACACACACCTCACACACACCCCCCACACCTCCAACACCACCCACACCCACACCCTCACACACCACCCACACACCCACCCACACACCCCACTCCACACACCCCCCAACACCCTCACACACACCACCTCACACACACCCCCACACACCCCCCCACACCCACACACCCCAACACCACCCACACACACCCCCCAACACACCCACCCACACCCTCACACACACCTCAACACCACCACACCACACCCCACACACCACCCCTCACACACCCACACACACACACCCACACACCCTCCACACACACCCACACACACCCCCAACACACACCACACACACCCCAACACACCCACACACACCTAACACACCCCACACCCCCCCACACACCACACACCCCCACACCACCACACACACCCCCCCACGCACCACACACCCCCACACCCACACCCCACACCCCCACACACACCTCCACACACCCCACCCACACACACACCCACACACCCCCACACACACACCCACACACCCCCAACACCACCACACACCCCCACACACCCACTCACACCCACACCCCCACACCCACCTCCACACACACCCACACACCCCACCCACACACCCCACACACACCCCCACACCCACACACCCCCAACACCACACACCCCCCACACACACACCCACACACCCCCAACACACCCCACACCACACACACCACACACACACACCCCACACACCCCACACACCCCCAACACCCCACACACCCCAACACCACACACTCCACCCACCCCCACACCACCCACACACCCCCAACACCTCCTCACACTCCCCAACACCACCCCTCACACCCCACCACCCACCCCTCCACACACACCCCCAACACCCCCACACCCACACACCCCCAACACCACCCACACACCCCCACCACCACTCACACACCCCCCAACAACACCACCCACACACCCCCAACACCACTCACACACACCCACCACACCACCCACACACACCCCCAACACCACCCACACACCCCAACACCACCCACACACTCTAACACCCACCCACACACACCCCCACCACTCACCCCCCCAACACCACTCACACACACCTAACACCCACCCACACACCCCCAACACCACCCACACACCCCCCCAACACCACACACCCCCCAACACCTCACCCACACACCCCCAAATACCCACTCACACACCCCCAACACCACTCACACACCCCCCAAAGTCACCACCTTGGCCACCACACCTAACACCACCCACACACCCCAACACCACCCACACACCCCCAACACCACCCACACACCCCAACACCACTCCACACACCCCCACCACCTCACACACCCCCAACACCACCTTCACACACCCCCAACACCACCCACACACCCCCCCAACACCACTCACACACCCCCAACACCACTCACACACACCCAACACCACCCACACACCCCCAACACCACCCACACACCCCCCAACACTACCTTCACACACCCCCAACACCACACCTCACACACCCCCCAACACCACCCACACACACCCCCCAACACCACCCACACACCCCCAACACCACTCACACACACCCCCCAACACCACCCACACACCCCCAACAATTCACCCACACACACACCACCACACACCCCAACACCACCTCACACACCCGCAACACCACACACCCCCCAAGTAACACCACTCACACACCCCCAACACCACTCACACACCCCTGCCAACACCACTCACACACCCCAACACCACCCACACACACCCCCCAACACCACCACACCTCAACACCACCCACACACCCACCACCCACACCACCCACACACAACACACCCACACACCCCCAACATCCAGAGTTTAAAAAGTCCTTTACAGACAGTGCCCAGGTGGATGGGAATTAGAGGAGGAGGAAGGATGCCTTGCCTCATTTGCCAGTGTTTTTATTGGAGCTGCATAGTTATTATTTTCATATGATGAGCCTCTATGGTGTATGTTTTATCATTGATAATATAAAATATTAAATACTATAAAAAAATATGATATATACAAGTAATTTGACATCAAATTAAATGGCAAGCCAAACTATAAGGCACCTTTCCTCAGAGACCTCTGTTTCTTGAGAGGGGTGACAAGGAGGCCTAGCACTTGCTAAGTTCCCCCCTTTTTTTTTTATTCACACTGATACTGTACATTATAAAAAGAAGTGCATACCCAGTATTGTACTGTATATGAAGGGTACAAGTACTGTACTGTACTGTATTAATAAGCACAGACTGTTACAGTAACGTATCTTTACTAATTATTAAACAATAAAAAAAACAAAATTGTGTCTTGAGTTACAGTTGGAATGACAGAGGCAGGAGAGGGAAGTGGGAGACGAACCTTTTTGGAGTGTGAGGGGGGGGGGGTACTCACGGTCATTTTTCTGCCCCCAAGGGTCTCTACCCCTCATTAGAATTATGGAAAAATTAATTTAATGGAGGAAATCAGTACTTGTGCATCTTATTTCTGTATTTTACAGGCTGCGTCGGAGACGTGCGTCACGAAAGTACAGAGTATTGTCTCATAATGATGATCAGGAGATGTTCCCTCTGGCTGCAGATGATGGTGATGATGAAGAAATATTCAATGCTGCAGATCACCAGACACTAAAGTAAACACTTTTTGGTTGACATTGTTTTAAGTTTCTACAATTTTCAGAAATGTACCTTCAGTTGTATAAAAACTTTCTCTTAAAGAAAGGTGAGAAATACGCATTTTGTAATAAATTAAGCAGAAGCCTGTTTAAATTAGATTATCTATATACTACATGTACTATATACATATACAGTACAGTATATATACAGTATACTGTATATTTATTTAACTCTTTCTTTTTCTTTCTTTTCATGGATAACATGATGAAATTTGAAGTTGAGTGTGGGACAGTTGGGTGTAGATAATAAAGCAGACATGTCTTCTGGGCAAAGTTTCCAAGCTTTATAGTGATATGCAGTGTGCAGTATGTAGCAGCATATAAAAGAAACTTTGGGCATTATGTGAAATAAACTGTAAGGTTGTGTATAAGAGGTTGTTTAAGTTTGTATGTGAGGGAACTGTTTTACATGTAAGTATGAAAGAGTTGTTTCAGGGTATGGGTGAATCATTAGTTAGCTTAGGGTGATGCATGGCATTCCTGTCTAAGGTTATTATAAAGTTGCATGATAATAATATGAAGCAGCAGTTGGAAGCTTAATGTGATGTAATTGATACAAAACGTTAACCAGAGTGACTGATATGCAGGAAGATGAGCTCATTACATTTAATTATTGTAGAGAGCAGCATTTTTATTACAACTGAAATTTTGCAGTCAAACTATATTTTGAGGAATATCATTATTTTATAGGTAAGCAGTTTGAGGTGTTAGTTAACACAGCATGTCGTCCATTCTTTGTCTTCCGTCAACTTTTAGTTTCTTCTGAAAAACAGTACATTAGTGTATATTTATATAGAAAATTTATTAAAAAAGAAATAGCTCTCAGTTTTAGACAGTTTCTTTTAAGTAAAACAGTTAGATAGAAATCGTGTGCAACTTATTATGTAGCTATTATCAGTTGGTCCTTGATGATGATATGGACATTATGATAATTTAATGAATGTACTGTACTGTAGTGCATGCATTTAAAAGTTAATGTATTGCCTGCCTTCATAAGGAGTTATTATGTTGAGACTTTGTGTATGGCAAAAGAATTCTCTTGGATTTGGTGAAGAAAATTTTTTGTATTTATTTATTTATTTATTTATTGCATGGGGTTGTAGTTTAGACCTTAATGATGTGTGATATTTTAAAAAGAATTTGTGCTGAGTCACACAATTAGGTCTTTCCATTTCAGTATGAAATAATATCAAGTTTTTACATTTTCCATAGATACTGAGTGGTATATACAGTATTGACATGATTTGATGCATGTATAAGATGTGGTTTATTTTCACCTCTGTTGACATTGTAGGGGTTTAAGCTTTTATCAGAAGCAGTTGAAAATTCAGAATATTTTAATACAGGTTAACTTTCTTATCTGGCATTCCCTCAACCGGTAACTCCCAATTATCATCATTGTTATAGAAAAAAACATTTCCCGACAAAGCTCCCAATTAATGGCACTTTTAACTGCCATGTAGTTGTCCACTATTTCATGACATTCAAATGTGATTCGCCCAATAATACTAAATATTAATCAGAGAATAATAATTCATGAAAAAAACTAAAAATTAATGGCTGAAATTCAGTGACAGCCATCAATTTGGGCTAGAGCTGAACCTCTCACACCCTACCAGCAGCCATATCATTCCAAAGCTGAAAAGAGTTGTGTCAACTCATAAACACAAATTAATTGTTATTATATTGCTATCTGAACAAAATTAATTTACAGGTACAATTTTGTCAATAAAAAATACAGATAGACATTTAACAGTATTTTTTAATTAGCTTACTAGTTGTTCAGGCGATCGGTCTGTACTTTGTTATGACCTTCATTGTCCAGTGCCAGTTGAGGAGGCAATGAGACTTGCTGGAGAAAACCTGCAAGTTTTGGTTGGGTCATACTGGATAACACCCTTCTGGCATTTGACCTGGGGATTGAACCCACAATACTGTGGGGTAAGTGTGGTCCTGTTGCTGATGTTGTCTTATAAGTGACCAATAAATAATCCTGGCTCTAGATCTCCTAAGATGAAGAGTCACACACTAACACCAGTATAATACTATACAGTTATCTCACACATTAGCTGGAATCCTGATCACCGAAACTCTCCAATAGCCAGAATGGAAATCGATCGGAAAAATTACTGGAAATCTCTCTCCATTCAGGGTCTGTGAATAAGTTTCAGAGGATGAAAGTCGGGCATTTTCCGGAAAAATTCCGAGAAGGTTCTGAGAAAATTTCTCCAGACGTCTCCTTTCTGGGCCTGAGAATAAATTTTCCGGGAGTTTCGAGAGATTGCATCATGCTCCAGCACGTCCCCACGTGCCAGGCCTGTGGGTGGCCTAGCTGCTTGGATCACTGCCATTGCAGAAGGTTGTTCCCTCGCTAGCTGCTGTTTTTGCATGCAATTTGTGTTGTACAGTACTGTACATTACTGTACCAGGACACAATCAACCAACAATACAGTGTTAAAGAAGTGTTAAGACATAAAAAGTGATTACAGTTATGTGCACTGTACTGTACATTCAGTAAGTGGGAAACACTGGAGCACCTTAGTTTTTGTCTTTATATAAGACAACTTCAGGTCATGAGACCCATTAATCCCCACCCTACCTCCAAGACAAATGAGAGAAGGGTTTATATAAAATGGGTGATCTGGTCAGGTGAGTAGTCTCCTATCTCACCTCCATCACAAGTGTTGTGTTAAAATGTAAAAAGTTTTTACAGTTACCTGTATGTACAGTATTACATTCAGCAGAGCCTTCTGTAGGCTCAAGACAACAGCATCTGCTAGTGAGTACAGTGCAGTAGTAGTATACAGTGCATTATTTTGTTTATTTACAATATATTGGACATTAGAACATAAGAAAATAAGGAGTCTGCAATAGGCCGATTGGCCTGTGCATGGCAGCTCCTGTCGAGATTTACTACCACTCTCTATCATCCATGAATCTATCCAGCCTCCTTTTGAAACTTTCCAGCATTCCAGCACTTACTACAAAGTTGCTAAGCTTGTTCCACTCGTCCACCACCCTATTTGTGAACCAGTTCCTTCCTATCTCCCTCCTAAACCTAAACTTATCCAACTTAAATCCGTTGCTCCGAGTCCTATCCTGCTCGGATGTTATAAGAACTTTATCTATATCCCCTTTATTGATTCCTTTCACCCACTTAAATACTTCTATCATATCTCCCCGCACTCTTTGTTTTTCTATGGAATGCAAGTTTAGTTTCTTTAACCTATCCTGATATGGAAGGTTTCTAAGTCCCGGAATCATTTTCGTCATTCTTCGCTGCACCGACTCTAGTGAGTTGATATCCATTCTATAATAAGGGCACCAGAACTGTACCGCATAATCGAGGTGCGGCCTGACTAGCGCAAGATATAGTTGCAATAAGACCTCTGCACTCTTATTACTTACACTTCTAGATATAAAACCCAATACTCTGTTTGCCTTATTTCGAACATTAACGCACTGTGTTCTAGGCCGTAAGTCCGGGCTTACAAGTACCCCTAGGTCCCTTTCACAAGTCGACTTCTCTAGGTTGATGTTGTTAAGGCTGTATACATTGACAGTATTTGTTCTTCCAATATTAAGTACGCTGCACTTGCTGGTGTTGAATTTCATTTGCCATTTTTCAGACCACCCCTGCAGTTTATTTAGATCCTCCTGTAGTGCATTTGCATCCTGCCCTGAATTAATCTGCCGCCCTAATTTGGTGTCATCCGCAAACTTGCTTATGTCACTGCTGATCCCAGTATCTAGATCATTTATGTAGATTATGAACAAGAGTGAGCCTAATACTGACCCCTGGGGAACCCCACTCAGATTTAACACCATCTACGCCGACCCTCTGCGTTCTATCGGTGAGCCATGATTTTATCCAATTTAAAACTTACCCCTCGATACCATGAGCCTTAACTTTTCTCAGAAGCCTCTGATGCGGTACTCTGTCAAATGCTTTGCTAAAGTCTAAGTAAATAACTTCGTAATTTTCGTCATTATCTACTACCTCGAAGACAGAGGTGTTTTCTTAAATAAATACAGCTCGTGCCTGTCCCTTTGAGATGCATAGTTTAAGCTCCAGGAAACTTTTCTAAGTACCCAGAAAAATTCCGGGATATGGGGTTTTTCCGGGAATGAGAAAGTCGTCTCATTACCCGAAAATCTCATCCCTGGTAGAGCTTTGCACTAATTGTTCTGGGTAACTGGGATATCACTGTAGTTATGGAAAATGTACCGTGTTGATTCATCAACAGTGCAGTACTTTATTGATTTTTATGCATAAAATTGTCTTCATGTATTGATATTATGATTGTTTAGTGAATTGTTGAAGGTTCCATAAGAAATATAAATGTTTTTCATATTTTAAAATACTTATTACTGTATAAAACTTTAAATCACACACGCTCAACTAGAACCTTCTAGATGCATATAGATGCTCGTAGTGAGAGTTGTTTATATACCTGGTATGTATGCAATTATTTCTTTAGAAATCACCCTAAATTGTACATAATGAGCACAAAAACAACCTGTCAGTGCCTTCATCAAGCACACCTTTTGTCAAGAAACAGTGAGTGTCATTTTAAAGGTGAAATTAAACTTCAGTATTAAACAACGGTTGACAAAATGGCCATGAAAGAGAGAATATGACGCACAAGGTTCTCAATAAATCCTTCATTACTACAACTTGTATAATTCTTTTATGCGTTATTACAATTATTAATTGCAGGTATTTTAATATTATCGAGGTAAAATAATGAGTGTACCGATAGATGAATGCTCTGGCTGATGCAGGATAGTTGTGGTGGTTGTCAGTTTATAAACAGTCATGAAAATCGTACAGTATACTACAGGTATCCATCATTTGACGATGGGGTTGTGTTCCTGAAATACCTAGTGTTAAGCGAAATTATTGCTTAACAAGGGATAACAGCAAAGTATGGAGGTCATACCACGGGTCCAGACAGTAGGGCAGTAAACACTTGAGTACAGAACTGTAATCCATAATAATAATAATAATAATAATAAATGAGTTTGTTATAAACAATTTTGCAGTTACCGTAAGTAATTGATTTATGAACACCAAACTTCTGTATAAACGATGTGGTTCAGAGTTAAACGATTTAGTGAGCACAAGGTGAGCCTAATTCAAACACATTTCAAATTGCACCCTGTACTTCAAAAATAAACAAAAGTTACAATGATATATAATAAAATTGATACATATCTTATCATAAAATGCAATAGCACATATTTTATGTGCAAAAAAAATAGCTCCTTCCACTCAAACCATCATCTGGGTGACGTGACAGTTCAGCTGGGCAGTCACTCAGCTGACTCAGAGATGTGTGTGTGTGTGTGCTGTACTGTGCTTTGCTGTGCTGTGCTGTGCTGTGTTGTGGATATGCCGTGATGTCACATCAGGGGGAGGGAGCATGGGTGGGTGGCAAGTCGGCAACGCAGTTACAGCCCACTGCTTCCACACGTACATTAACTTCTCACACACCCATGCTCTTAATTTTTCTCATATTTCTCTTTATTTCTAAGCCACATTAGAATATTGTAATAATTTTCCCACAGCTTTTATAGTTTCATTACATGTAATATTGGCAATGCGAGGAATGCCTCAGGTGGCCTTTTTGAAACACTTCGTTTGTAGTCTCAGTTTGTTTCGCGCAGGAATTGTAACGATAGTTTTTTTACAGAGCATACCTAGTATTATACTAGACAGTGCAGGTATACAACGAAGGTAAACAGTAAGGTAACTTGACCAAGAATAGCCAACAAAGCTGTCAGGTGCTTATTTCCAGGAGGGTCCTTTGCTTAGGCTAATACTGTACTTGGTCTCTGATCATCAATAGTATGTCTACTGGAGTATATTAGTGAAAGGTTTTTGGTAAATATAACGATCATTACACTGCACTTGGACTATGTGAGCCTGGTGGATTACTTCACCAATACATTCTGAGGTTGTTGTATCCTCATCTGTTATGTATGTTATCTTTTGTTTAGTTTCATAGCTACGTATTGTTTCTTTGGAATATTTCTGTAATTTATTTGTGTATTTATGTACTGTATACCTTTTTTAAGTACAGTATAGTATTTCATTCTCAAAAATGTTTGTGTTCTACCATACAATTTTAAAACTAAAGCTCCAGAGATCTTTTCTTTTACATGTTTCTATCTGTTTTCTTGTTAGCTTAGCACTTCATGGAAATCTGTGAAAGACACAAACTTTTTATTATTCTTACACTAAATCTTGCAAAATGCTACAGTACAAACTACCATTGCTAAAATTTGTACTAAAAAATGTATAATCTTGATCACTTTAAGAATCGCGCCTTCACTGTTGACAAGATGACTAACAGGCGGAGCCAAGTGATGTATCCATAACTTAGCCAATCTGCCCACTGAATGAGTCACTGATGAGTGATTAATTGTATTATTTTATTCAGTAACAGCGGCTCTAATCACAATTAAAGAATAAAATTACATTATCTTTTATGCTAATGCATTATTTTATACCATAAGGAAACTTCAATAAAGGCTCTTTTTTTTTTTTTTTTTTGCTACAGAACCTTATGGGAGTGGTGCTACTTCTCCTATATACCTTGGGTGGGAGTTGCATTTGCATGACCAAGTGAAAGATAAATGCCTACTTGGCAACATAACTTAGCCAGGCTCGTATGTTGATTAAAAAAGTACCACTAAATTACAATACATCATATGACAGGAACCGAAGCCCTGTAAGCATATGTCAAG